CCATCCCCTGTTGTCTGGTTTCATGTTGTCAGAGAACATCTCCCACGGGCTGCTGCTTCGGAAGGTGGGACCCAAAATGCCGCAAAAAGCCCGAAGCCACAACCACCATTACATTTGCTCAGCCAAGTGACCATCTTGATAAAGTAAATCCAAATGGAAAAGTCAAGCTGCGCTGTGTCATGAACAGATGATGTCTTATCCGTCCACAGGCTCCTGTGCTTCAATATCTGTACTATTTGGCTCAGATTGGCATCGCCATGTCTCCGCTCAGCAATAACAGTCTGTTCCTTAGCTATCATCGTAATCCTCTGCCAGAGTACCTCTCCAGAGGCCTCATGGTCTCCCTGTCCACAGACGATCCCTTGCAATTTCACTTTACTAAGGTAAGCACCAGTGTTGCCGCCGTGAGCATGAAAAATTAACCTCGTTACTTTGCTGATTGCTTAATTTTAAAAATCACAAAGTTATATTTCAAGTTACTTTAATACTTACGTTTCGCAGTTACTGACAACTCTGCTCAGCATAAAATGACGCCTGGTTTTGCCACTTAATTGGAAGTACATTTTTACCAGTGACTTTAATACTGTAAATGGGGGCGTGGGTGGGTATTTGGCACTACTCTTTGAAATACTGCAAAGTTGTAGTCAATATATTCCATGTCGTACCAACCTCAAGCCCAAAGTTAGCTAATTTCCACGAAAAAGAAATGACTCAAACTTGATTGAACAATATTGAAGTCAATGGGGTATATGGTTTGTTAAATGTAGAAACTTTTAGTGTGTGCACTTCCTTTGTAGGAGCCCCTGATGGAGGAGTACAGCATTGCGGCTCAGGTGTGGAAGTTGAGCTCTTGTGACATGTGTGAGCTGGCCAGAAACAGCGTGCTCATGAGCGGATTCTCTCATAAGGTACCTGAGACTCTTCATGTCCATCGTAAAAAAAAAAAAAAAATAAACAAATACAAAAAACACTGTGCTTTTTGCTCTACGAGTGATATCCAATCTGTATTGAGCCGAGGCTGAACAAAAATGTCACAGAAGTAATTATAGTGAAACAATCTCATCTCAATTTACACAAAAAAATTACATTGTGAAATGGTTAGTCGAACACAAAGCTTTGCATTGTATCGCTGTGCCATTTGAATGAAGTGCATTTAATTGTTCTGCCAGTTAATATACATCGCTGGCATAGATAGATAAACATAGATACATTATTTTTTGGGTGAATAAATAATCAATTAAAAGTGGATGATGAGTAACGTGCCACGGCAAAGTGATTGGGGATCACTGTGCTATACGGTTGAAACTTATTGCCGTTCCGGTTTAGGTGAAGAGCTACTGGCTCGGGCCCGACTATGTCAAAGAAGGCCAAGAGAGCAACGACATCAGGCGCACTAACGTTCCGGACATCCGCGTGGCGTATCGCTACGAGACCATGTGCGAGGAGCTCAATTTGATAACGCAAGCCATTCGTACGGACGAGATGGACACCATTGAGGAGGAAGAGAGTCTGAGCATGGCTGCCACCCAAGGAAAGCAATGAACTCTCACCGTAGTTTCCCTGCATCACAACTTTGGTACACACTTGTGTAAAAATAATTCAACGACTGTGGGAAATTGAGAAAGGGCACATACTGGGTTGCGTTTAGCTGGTTGTTTATTTCCATGAGTTGGTCATTGTGACGTCTCCAAATCTTTTTAGGTTATTTTTATATTATGTGTTGATGGCCATATCTTGTCAGCTTTTCTGTACTGTTGTAAACCTCAGAAGCAACATTCAAACCGTTATAGACGTGACATCTCATTGCTGTTCATTTGGTTATTATTCACTCTTCTCAGTGACAGTTTGAAAGATGTCATTGATTGTCTCCAGCAACAATGCAAGCGCCTGAAGAATTCATCCGTGTTCACTTGTGCTGCTCGTGTGATGAAGCATGCTGTGTCCTTGTAAACAGGTCAACCATTGCCAAAGCCATCAGTACATTCATTTTTTTGAGGAAATGAAAGTCAGTTGAGAAACTTTTGTCGTGTCATTCAATGAGTTTTGGTCTTTGTGCAAAGTACAAGTTGTATTTCAAGGGCATGCTTGTCTTCTCCCAGGGTGTTCCTGTACTGTATGTGAAATTAAAGTTAATGTTGCCTGTGTTGATCTATAAATAAATATCCACACTTAAGTATTTACTTTCTTTTTTTTATAATGCAATTTAATTCAAAATCATGACTCCAATGCACGTCTGTACTAAAACAAACACAAACAAAAATAGTCAGTGTGAAATTATGTTGGGACTTACTAAAACATGCAAGTAGCTGCGACAATGCGTGTTCAAGTGAATTAAACTCTGAGACAACTCGCAGGTCCCAACAAGAACTTCAACTTTTAGATTGTGTGTACATTTTGCAGTATGACTCAGGATCAGCACCTTTTGCCACAGTCAAACTCTTTCATGAGGTCTACCTGCTTTTGATGAAATAACACAAACTGACAACATATCTGACAACAGATAGCTCTCCACAACACAACAAAGACATTGTGCTTCCCCTGTGACATTCCAACAAAGCCTTGCTGTTGGTGATAACATGAACATTGCTGTTGGCCTGTCTTTTAAACAATTCCACAAGTAAATATATATTTTTTTTAAGTATTACAATTACTTATTCCATGGGAGTCCTCAGTTCACAACACAGTTCCACTCCTATGGCAAAATCATACTCTGAATACTGAATACGTATGTACGCAAGTCTTAACAAGGTGTAGTCTTATCCCAATGCTAATACATTAGTACAGTTGTTCACAAAATCTTTACTCAAAGTTCCCCCGAAAAGATAGTATACCTCCACATATACACACGAGCACTATCATTTAAAAGTGTGGAGCCACTAATTTAGAAATCCACATTTTCCCCATAATGAAGATGGCATTATATTAATCAGAAGATAGTTCAAGCAAGAAAGAAATTGTTTTATTTGAACTATGAATAATTTTTAAAAAATAAATAATAAGGTTTTTAAGTAACCCTCAAACTACTGAATGCTGTGTGCATGCAATAGAAAACTGACTGCTTTTGTGGAAATTGTCCATATTATATAACGATTTTTATGAAAACAATTCTAGGTCACTAACATAAAACAACTAAATGGAGTGCCGGTTATTACGACGGTAAGTGGGCGTGTCGTCTCCTCCGTACCGAGATGCCTGGATTTGGGAATTAACCCCGCCCACATACTTTTTTCCGACTGCTCGTCGCGGTACAAAACCAACCGACGCTTCCTAACGCTTCCTCCTCTCAGCAACTCACCATTGTCGACACAAAGACGAGAAATTTAGAACCAAAATTTAAAATGAAACTAGCTTACTGGGATATTCGCGGGGTGAGTTCTATAATCTGCTAAACGTCATTGCATCATTACATAAGTGCAAGAATGAAATGGGTTTGGTTTTTTGGTGGGGTTTGCTTCGCCGCTTGTCTTTGTGCAGAAGTTAGCGTTTTGCAAGTGACGCAATGTGCTTCGGATTCGTCAGCAAAGAAGGCTCGCGAATAGACTGAATGTGTGCAGGGTTTCTGTAGCGAATGCTAGTTTGCGTGACGGTCACAGCCAGCACACAACTTTGTTCCACGGGAAGGCATTTTCTTCAAATGTTTACTCGTGCACTTGAAGAACGTGCAATTGTTTCCACGTTTTGCTTGATTTATGTTCATTAGTTTACTTCTCGTGGTAGTGTCGGACAAACGGAGTTTTGATCATTTAAGTCGAGGTTATTTTTCCATTACTACAGTAGTATGGAAAGTAAAAGATAAAGTCGGTGCAGTCGATGACGTTGACTTGAAATAAGGTCAACGATTTTCATTGGGCGACGCAGGTGTCGGTAATGACAGCAATTGGCTTGTGTGCCAAGTGAAAAGACGACAGTTTTTTTTTAACCGTTTTTAATGTAAGCGATAGCGATATACCCTTCTAAAATATTTCGGTTTTGTTAGTAAATTCGTGCGTTTAGAGTTGAATGTTATTTTCGAATCCAGCATTGCTTTCATTTTTGAATGATCACATGAAGTACTTTGTTGGTCACATGTCCCATCTTGAGAAACCACGCGACTTTTTCCCCTGCCTCCGAGGGTAATAATTACCGATATGTTGAACTGCAATAAAATAAAGACAAGTGTATTCTACATCACACTGTTTATAATCGTTATTATACATGTAGTGATGAAACAATTTTAGGAAAAAGAATGCACACCACTATAATTGAAATGTATTTCAGTGAGTGGCCCACCTTGAAAATTTGGTTTTGTGGTGAGCAAAAGTCAAGTTCCAACACGTTTAAGGACAACTTAATGGAGTAAACCACAAAAAAGAGAACGTTGGTTCATTTTTAAAGGTATGTGCAGGATTAGGAAATACAATAACCTCTTGTTTGGGTCTGGTTCTCTTATCTATTCATTCAGCAGAGGGCTGAAGGGCAACTGTTGTATATAGTGGCATGGTAACCATTATAAACCCTGCCTTGACAAGTTTATCCTAATACCTGGACGACAAAGATTCATTCTCGGCGCACACTAGTACATTTGAAACAGAAAAAGACCAACACTTAAAGCAAACAATGTGTGATTGATATCCAGTTGGCCCAGCCTATCCGCTTGCTGCTGGAGTACACTGGGACGACCTATGAGGACAAGTTTTTTTCCTGTGGCGAAGGTAAAATCGACAAAAATCCACTTTTATGCTGTCATGTCATGTTATCAATTGCACGGATGGTCAACTTCTTCCTATGCACGCAGCTCCCAACTATGACAAGAGCTGCTGGTTTGATGTGAAGCCCAACCTTGGCATGGACTTTCCCAATGTAAGTGATGACTAACAGCATGTTCATGATGACTGAAACCCTTTTATGATTTTTATTTTATTTATTTAATAATATTTATTTATTTATTTATTGGCAGCTACCCTACTTGGAGGACGGAGACAGGAAAATCGTGCAGAGCAATGCCATCATGAGATACATTGCTCGGAAGAACAACTTGTGTAAGTTTTCTGCGCATGGATTAACCTTTTATTCACGATACGGGTGTTGTTGTTTTTTTTTTTTTTTTTTTTAAACATCCTTTCACTAGGACACATTTCACTGTTTCGGGTAGTGGGTGAGATGCAAACATTTTATGCAGTACATGTACACCTGGTCGCCAGTCAATCTACAGTCTCTCGTCCCAAGTAGGAGGGTACTGTCTTCGTCTTGGTCAGTGCCGAAGAACCAATTGAATGGCGACGAAGGACATTACACATGATACGGCAGACTTTTCGTTGTCGTGCTCAAGTGTCCTTGAGGCCAGATGACCAATCATTATGACACCCTACTCAAAATCGGCCTGCGACATGTCGACATTTGTGTAGTCCAACGTCGGCCATCTGTGCTCTGAATCTGATCCCAGGTGGAGAGACTGAGGATGAGAAGGTCCGTGTGGATATCTTGGAGAACCAGGCCATGGACTTTCGGAATGGCTTTGTGAGGTTGTGTTACACTGATTTTGTGAGTATCAATTTCCAAGCGGACTTGACGCAGGTCCCACGGTTCTAAATATTTTCCAATGATTTCAGGACAAGATGAAGCCAGGGTACTTGGAACAGCTGCCGGATCTACTCCGGCAGCTCTCCAAGTTCCTGGGAGACCGAAAATGGTTTGCTGGTGACAAGGTCTTTATTTTTTTCTGCTGGACAGAAAGTGGTCATGACTGGAGTCGCAATGGTGAAAATGACTTTTCTTTGTGACAGATTACTTTTGTGGACTTCATCATGTATGAGTTGTTGGACCAACACAGGATGTTTCATCCCACCTGTCTGGATGACTTTAAGAACCTCAGAGACCTTCTGGATCGCTTCGAGGTGAGGGGAAAGATCTTTCTCTCTATCTCCTCTTAGTTTGTGGTGACAGTGCATCACTTTTTGTCTATCGCCGTGGCAGGCACTCGACAAGATTGCAGCCTACATGAAATCCAAAAGATTCATCAAGACCCCCGTCAACAACAAGATGGCCAAATGGGGCAACAAGAAAGAGTAAAATTTCAAGTCGTCTCAACAATAAATAAAGTTCAAATATTCTGCTGTAAAATAAGTCGAGCACTACATTTACTTGCACTGTTGAAATGTGATATTAAGCACATTAAAGTTGAACTCTTTCTCAGTTTGCAACTTTATTCACTTCAGTCTCGGAATAAAAGACTTGGAATCCATAAATTATTGCAACATTTTTTTCTTCTCCATAGACTAATTTAAAACAATGTTTCTAATCAATTTAAAAAAAAATGTTTTTTTTTGCTTCATATAAATGATCTTAATGTGTACACTTTATCCCGAAAACAAAACTGGATATATGATTCATAACAAATGGATTACACCACAATTCACATCCTGATCAGTAGATGAAGATTAAGAATGGGGGGAGGGGTTGGTCACTAGTAGCGGGCATCATATGGATCTGATGGTTCACTGGCAAGCTATAGGAAAAAGGATCAAATTAGTGTCTCTGTGTGTGTGTGTGTGTGTGTGTGTGGGTTTATACATCACAAACGGCCTGCAATAGCTGATTTAATAGCCTGAAGTTGGAAGAAGACTTTGGCTCCTTCTTCTGGACACACAGTCCTCATCTCATCCTTGCCCATCTGCAGCAGCATTTTCCCAGTCAGCACCCCGAGGCTGGCCACGGTGCTGCTCCAAATAAAGGGTGACATCATCATCACGTGTCAAAAACGCACACACACACGCATCCAAAAACATCTGAGTCACCCCTCTCACATTTTGGCGAAGCCTTTGTACTGCAGCCACGCTCTGACCTCTGCAGGTGAGGAGACCACGTCAAGAGTCGGGGGACCACGAGGTGGGCGCTGTGCCAAGTGGAATAAAAGTGAATGAAATCAAATGGATATATGTGATCCTTCCTCAAAAACAGCAATGTAAAATTACCATTTCCTCGACAGGCAAGCCACTCCTCAAAGGCTCCAGAACATTCTGAGGAACGTTGCCTTCCACCGCTCGATTGTTACGCACAAGCCACCATTGCTTGGACCTCTGAACCACCTTTTGAAAGAGCAGAAAGTACCCGAATCAGGTGTACTCAAACTTTTGGGTGCAAGAACACCTGTCGTGATATGTCACAATCATCCATCCATCCATTTTCCGATCCGCTTCTCCTCACAAGGAGAAGCGGGTGGGTGCTGGAGCCTATCCCCGCCGTCTTTGGGCAGTAGGCGGGGGACACCCTGAACCAGTTGCCCGCCAATCGCAGGGCATACAAAGACGAACAACCATCCACGCTCACACTCACACTTAGGGACAATGTAGATTTTTCAATCAGCCTGCCATGCATGTTTTTGGAATGTGGGAGGAAACCAGAATACCCGGAGAAAACCCACGCAGGCCCGGGGAGAACATGCAAACTCCACACAGGAGGCCCGGAGCTGGAATTGAACCCACTACCTTTGCACTGTGAGGTCGACGCGCTAACCACTGGCCCACCGGGCTGCCCTATGTCACAATCAGATCAGAGCTTTTTTTTAAAATTTTTATCAGTCTAAGTGAGAGTAATTAGTTTTACTGGCAAACTGGTCACCATATATGTGTCATGATTCTGTTTGGGACCAACAGGTGGCACTGTAGGCCTCTCCCTGCAGTTGCACACCTGTTGGTCGTTCTGTAATCGGGTCATTGTTTGTTTGTTTGTTTGTTGCTGTTACTGTTTCTGGTTTTTGCTTCTGCCGTGGTTTTTGTTTGCTTGTTTGCTGCTGTCAGATTTGTTTCAGTCATGTTTCGGTCACTGTTATGTTTTAGCTTCAGTCATGATTTTTGTTTGATACTTTGGACTTTGTTTGTTTTGGCTTTAGTTTTCTCTGTGTTTTAATACAATTTGCCAAGTACACACTCTGCTCCTCCCTCTTGTCTGCTTTTTGGGGTCCACCACCACCTCGCAACGTGACAATATGTGTATTTTTAAAAACTAAGAAATAGTTCAAAAACCAACATTTGAGAATCACAGACCGGAGGGTTACAAAACATCAGTCTCAACGCCAACCACAGTTTACCATCATCTCACCTCAACCACTTCACCCTTCATCACAGTGAGCTCCCTGTTATTGCGAGCCATGAAGTCATAAACGACCCGCATGTGGTCGCGGCTTTCCTTGGTGTTGCCGTCGGGTCGTCCCGACGGAAAGCGCTGGCTGCTGCTCCTGCTCACTTGGCCGTTCTGATAAGGGAGTTGGGCGGGCTTGTGCGAGGGGGCAGGCGGCCGCCAGCCGTCGTAGAACTCTGGAATGTAAGGCGGGACGCCGTCATCGGGCCATCGAGACCTGTGAGGGAGACAGAAAAGATTCCGGGTTAAGGGCGGCAAAGAGGACAGCGGTAGAACACAAGGATAATCATTTGATCCATTGGGCATTAAACAAGAGTGTTGTTGTCAAGACTTGAATGGAAAAATCTGATGGGGAAAGCATGACCATTTGTTTGTTATTCTGTTTCCATGGCATTCATTTCGTCACCTCCAGGTGATCTTGGAAGTGAACCGCGATATTTTCCATGTGTTATGCAAACGTCACCGCTTCAACTTTTCCCTCTCATATCAGCAGTCCACACCCAACATCAGGGTGTGTCATGCATGGGATATCATATCAATAAGGTGGACTGTTAAGAAAGGGGTTCACATAGAGTACATTAAAGGATGAAAATTCTGTGTTGCTACCTGGGGATGTTCCAGCTGTCTCCCAGAGACCTCCAGATCTGGTCCTCCTCCGAGCTGACCACCTGTCTGACCAACCGAAGGGAGGCCTCTGTCAGCAGGGGGGAAAGCACGGTCGGGGGCAGGTGGGCATGGTAGTGAGGCAGAATCTGTGCAGGAAACAAAATGATTTTTTTCTTGCAATGGGAAGATGATTTTAATAATGTATTCTTCATCGGAATAAAATAGCTCTTAAACAACATGCGTCAGATTCTTTTTTTCTTCGCAGCAGTATGTCAATTTATTAAAAGAGTTAGCCAAGATATCATTTTGACTTTTAGACCGACAGGACATACATTTGAGAGGCTGTACTTTTTTTTTTTTTTTTTTACTTCAGTACAGGAGTTGACTCAGTACTTCAACTGTTGCCAGAGTCGTGTTTAAATAACTTAAATAACAAAGCGATAAGTGGAGAGGTGCATATATTGTGATGTGTTATGATGAAACACTCACTGTCGCTAAACTGCTGAAGAAGAAGTGGATGTAGTCCGAGGCGCTGGTGTGAAGCAGTGAGCCATCCAGCAGGCTCTGTTGAAACATCACACAGGTGCAGTCACGAGCAGGCACGCATGTTGTCCGTGTGCAGGGCGGTAAGGGGAAAATCTGCTTACTTACCAACAGATTGAATCCATATTTGATTTTCTGGAGACAGGAGACAAATTCCTGAGCAGGGGGCAGACGGGCAGCTGGGGGCAAAGGAACAGATCAAGTTGCATGCGCAAGTCTGCCTTATACGTCAAGAAAACTGAGAAGGGATTAGACTTTACCTGGGCTTCTCGGGTCCTTCTTTTTGACAAACATGCCTTTCTTTTTGCGTTTGTCAACCGGCGGAGAGGTCGCACTCGTCGCAGTGAGCACCTTGTCCATGAAGATCTCCACATCATTCAAAACATGGTTGAATATTTCCTGCGGGAACGGAATTCAAGCCAGTGAACTCCTTGCGCACCGGCGAGCGGTGTGGCATGTACACCTGTGCTCAAAAGTTGACATGTAGTCATCATGGGCATGAATGGCATATTCATTGACCGCTTGGACATCACGATCTTAAATCGTGATGCAATTTAGTCTGGATCCACACAGGGTCAACATTGGTGAGGATCTCTTCCTGTTTTTTGTACATTATGCCACCATAAAGGAACGGCTGCGCACCGTTGCACAGTACAGTATGCGGGTTAGCTATGTTAGCCACTCACTCCTGCAATAAATTTCTTTTTTTTTCTTTTCACAAAGGCAGAATATGAAACCTGAGATTGTTAGTGGCATCTAAATTATGACAAGACTTGACGATGCCATACGACATTTTTATAGCACAATAGATCAGAAAACAGGTCGCAAATGAACAGTTGCGTTTTGCAGCACACGCAACATGTCACAGTTGTCGGAGACTGGACTGTCTCAGAATTGTTGATGTTATGTTATTTATTGTTGTGTGTTCACACTCTGACCGTGTTCCTCTCAACATCTGTCAGTTCGGCAACCTCTGGAGGGCCACGGGGTCCATCGAGATCACGATGCTGCTTGGCTTCCTCTTGTGGGGCGTAAAAACGAGGGGGAGGAGGAATGTCTGGGAATTGAGAAGATTTCATCGAATGAGAAAATAAGTTCATACACAGCCTGGCAATGATATGTACAGTCCCGCTTTAAGTACTATACAATGCAATGTTCAAAAAGTATTTTGTAGTGTTTGCATGCATCACATGGAACAAATCACAATATTAAAAACACTATGAAAAATCCATTTCAGCATTTATTTGATATCATGGATATCCAGCATAGGCTAAATGTGCTAATATGCTTTTCGGCGCACTAGTACAATGAGTTGACGTACAGTTAATAACAACGTTACAAGAGAGGCAAAACTCTGCATTAATTGGCGCCTGTGTGCTGCTACTATGGAAAGTTGTTTAAGCCGGTTCAGCACGCTAGTAGAACAGCTGTCTTACTTGAAAGGTTTTTTTCCGCCTCTTATGGCCTTATTGTACCCAATTAAAACTGACTATTAAATGACTGTGCTGAACTATAGGAACGCCACAAGGTCCAACTCGTAAGCATGCGTTACTGTACATACTAGTAGCCTCATGCACCAAAAATAACCACACGTACTTTTTCCTCATTAGTAACAAAGTTGTCTGAGGCGAGTAATCCAAAGGGGACCTACTAGTAAGAAGAAATTTCAATCAGCTCGGGGGGTAAAAATAAAATGCTCAAACAACTTTCCATACCAACACATACAGGTACATATTGTATTGTCGAATGAATACAGTACCTCTATGATTTTGTCGATCAAAACGGAACATGAGAATTTTTCTGAAAGGAGAATGTAGTATTTGAATTGTCCTTTAAGTCGGCTTACCAGGTTCTCTGTGGGCCCACTGGGGTAGGAGCCTCTCTGGCGGTGGCAGTGGCCTCTCGAGCGGTGGCAGGGGCCTCTCCCGCGGTGCCAGGGGCCTCTCCAGCGGTGGCAGGGGCCTCTCTGGAGGTGGCAGGGGTCTTTCTCTCTGTTCAACACGAGGTGCAGCCTGAATGGAACTTCCTAAAGTATGAAGAAGTCAAAAGTGTAGTTGCAGAGAACATTCACACTCAGCGGCCACAACATTAGGTACACTGAAACAATTTCATGATACTGTATCCAGTACAAGAGCTGGATCCTAAATATCTGCCAGGTATATATGTTGCTCTTAAATGCCGGGTTACGGCGCAGACTAACATCCAACATCCTGTCCTTATGAGGCAGGATTCTCGGCAGTGACAGTGACATCAAAATGACGGAGAAGACAAGAAATAAGTAGCCCACCTTTAGATATCATTGTCTCCCAATACGCAAAGATTCGACCAGATCATTGAATAGAAAAAAGCTCAGCGCTCTCCCACAAATTACAACTACAGTACATTCAGCGTAATAGTGAGTTGACTGCTAAAGTTGCAAAAAAAAAAAAAAAATTTTTAAAACTAAAAAATGTAAAGCTTACCAGGTTCTCTGTCAGTCCACTGTGGGAAAGGCCGCCCCAGCGGCAGTGGTGAGTTTCTTTCTTGCACAGCACGAGGTCCAGCTTGCTGGAAGCTTCCAGGACCTTGACGGCCGACGAGGTTCTCAAGGTTACTCCTGCAAAACGGGAAGGAGTAAAACGAACATCATTTGCATTTTGTACTTTGCATCTGGATGGGGCTACTGTACCTCATGACTGGCTGCTCTCTGCGTGGTTCCACAGGACCGCCGTCACTTTGGACAAGTTTATCTAGGTCAATCTTGAGGAGGTCTGCCTGTAAAAAAAAAAAAAATCAAAAATGTACTGTAGCTTACAAAGCTTTCGGAGACAATGGACACATGTAAATCCTTCAATCTTAAAAACTTGAATCTTGGATTAGCTCCCTTGGCAAGCAGCTCGAGGTAAGGTTGTTTCTGATCTGGGAAGTAATTGATTCTTAGGTTTTAAGATGTTAGATGACACCACATGGTGCCTCGTGGTGCAAGGCTGCAAATAAAGTGAGGCACGCACTGTGAAAATTATTCATATTATTCACAGAGCTGAAGGACAACAACGCTCTCGGCTAAGGACTCACCCCAGTCTCCTCACACTGGAAAATGAAGACCTGGAGGAAGCGCTTGCTGCGTTCCCTTGTGGTGACCAACAGCAGGGAGTCGTAAGGGAAGATGTCCAACACAGCTTTGGTCTGCTGGATGCTGATCAGCGGTACAGCCTCCAGCTCTGCCTTTAAGCAAAGAGAAGCAGGGTATACTGTGTATATCATAGTAGAAGACACACTGCAGAGGTGAACATGGAGATGCGCAACATGCTCTGAAAACTTGCAAGGGAAGGATGCACTCTCATTTGTTATCTCTTTTTTCTGATGGTTTCTTTCCATATTCATGCTGCACCTTCACTCTCAATATTAAAATATGATTAGCGTATGAATTTTAAAAAGTTGCGGGTGCTGCGACTCTAACGGCGTGACTAACTTGGCTCTCTGTGTCAAGGAGCAGCAAGTAGCCTCCTTGAGCCGCCAAGATCATCTCCTGAGGCCACAGGCGACCTTTGGCGTTCAGCCTCTTGAGTTTGGCCACGCAGTCGTCCACAGTGGTCAGCTGCTGGCCGTCCAGCTCGCATGTGAGCAGGTGCTGTGGGTGGGGTCAGAGGGTGAGGTGGTGAGTTTGGGCGGATTTCCAAGCCCCACATCGGTGCGCAACGTCAGTGACTTTACCTCCACTCTGACGTTAAGGTTGTTGGGCTGCTTGCTCAGCACCTCTGAGTACTCCTTTCTTTGCACTTGACACAACATTTTGAGGTTACAAGATGTGCCAATATTAGGTTTGGACAACATTTGATTTTCTCAAAAGCCGACCGTGCGCCTTATATAATCCGATGCACCTTATATATGGATTCTGATTTCTTGGACGTAGTATTTTAATATTCTGTAAAATGTTTCGTTACAGCTGCAGCGGTTGGGCAAGCTTGCTAGTGGAGACACAAGGGCACATAGACTATCCACTCGTAACATTTCCTCAACTTACTGTATGACATTTTTGTAAACTAGTATGACAACTACATGCTCCTTGTCGGCAAAACCCTGCACTGCAAATAGTGCTAGATTTTGACAAGTAGAATTTTATAATAATACCAGCAGTGTGCATGTTTCAACGAGTGCACAGTTTTTCCTGGTTTGTAACACTATTATGCCAAATGTTGTCCTTCTCGTGAGAACAAAGCACATACTGTACTAGTGTAAGTTGAGGGGTTCGTTGTTTTTAGTGGATAGCTCTACTTTACGAATGACAAAAGGAGAGATGGAATCCTTTTATGCAGTCTATTAAAAGGGGCAAAAAAAAAAAACGTCTGCCTCATAACTCTCGAACGAACACACCTCCTTCCGGTAACGATCACACTTCCTCCTTTTCTTCGCCAATCAGATGCAAGCAACATAAGAATATTTCAGAAAGTATTAAACAGAATATAATTTAGGTAAATGTAACATAAAAGAATATAATGCTCAAATATAAAATGATAATAATTAACAATTTAACAAAAGCTTACACTAGTACATGGACCTTAACGTGAAAAAAGTGGTACTACGTAAGTGGTGGTGGGGGGGGGGGCGGACTGTTAAGAGGCAGTCATTGTACTAGTGCGCTATCTTGTTTTAAGAAGGACAATGTTCATGGCTCTTTAGATGGATATGAAGGATTTCTTAGAAATGGTGTTTTGTCATGTGTCACATACTGTATATGGACTTGGCACTCAGTCTGGACACATTTCTCTGAGACCTCGGAGGTGAGGATCCCCTGGAATCATCTTGTTGGAAAGCCCACCTCGAGTGAGGGAGCTCTTCCGGTGGGAAACCCCTGAAACACAATTTAAGATATTATATTGAACGCCATGTACATGTGCAGCACAGTTTGTTTGTTTGTTTGTTTTTGTGTGTGTTTTAAACGAAAAGCGATTCCCGTAATACAGGGATTCCTAACTACTATAACAAACACAAAGCCTTTTTCTCCCTTCAATTTCCCAGAGCAATCAAACAAACGTTTATAGGAAGATACTGCTGCTATCCTAATTTAACTATTTTCTTCCCCCACCTACTACTTAATGGGAGCTCCGAAATATATTCCACTGCATTGTCACTTGCGCAGGCAGCATTTCATCACTAAGGCACTTACGTACACTTGTCATACAAAATTTTATTTTGGGTTTTTTTGTTTTTGCACTAAATCCTCTTGATATAATCGAAAATGATGTCTTGCCCGCAATGATCTTTCAAGGTTTGACATTGAAAATTGAATACGCTCGTCAATGCGCGTTACGGTGTGCAGCTGTTATCAGAAGCTAATGCTATAACACTTCTAGTTAATGATAATCTGTGCTAGCACGGTTGCTTTGCTTACCTCATGACTTTGACATGATAGTGCCTCGGCCACTGGTAAGCCAATTATATTTTGTCGTTGGTGGAGAAACTAAGTGTAGGGGTGATTATGTTATTTAGTCCGACTGTTTCATTAACAGTGGGACAGAACCGCAGAACGGGTCGCTCACATTTTCACGAATAGGAAGAGAACTTAAGTCAGGTTTTAATCAATATCGAAAAGCTGACAGGTGGTCACTCTGGACAAAGAACTATCTACATACAAACACATAAGAGTTATTTTTGAGTTCCCACCCATTCATCCTTAAAAATTAAATCATACAAATTTACATCCGCGATGAAAATGACACTTACCGCGGGGAATAGGAAAACGGACGAGAGTTTCCCAACATTTTCTATCTTCTTCTCGGTTGTAGTTTTCCAAGTCAATTCATAAACGGCACTTTCATGCCAAACCTAGAAAGGAACACGTTTACAGTGTGTCAAGATATGATGTATTGTATTACATATCACAAGTACACTTTAAATCAACATGCGGGTTAATTATAAACTCTTTGATGAATGGCTGTGTTTACCTATTTGGACATGTTAAAACAAAAGAAAAATAAGATTTTTTTAATCCAGTGAATGAGTTACAGGATAGATGGTAAACTTCACTCATGCACAAACTTATAAAATTCAAATAAGAACACATTTCGTATCGTATACATTTATTACATAAGGTCAAATGTGGCGACTCCTAATGAAACAAGGACAAATCGACGATGCTTAATATTTTTTTTAAAAATCATCATCTTTCGAATGACTGTAGCACAGAATAAAATAAAGGCATTATTAATGAAATCCGTCTGAAGTTTGTCAATTTGTTTTGGAGCAACAAATCTACATGGCACAAAAACACATTATTGAAAGACATCATGAAGACTCACGGGAAATTTAAATGTTTGAAATCACATTACCATTGCTGGTATTTTACTACCTGTCAGCTTTGCTCCAGCGGCATTATTCCATAGTAGGGAATGCGTCTTCCTCAAACGGCGTAAACGCAAACGACTCCCATCACTTCCTGCTTGTACGTGTCGTGATCAAAGATCAGCAGGCTTGGCCCCTTGTCAGAGGTGGAATACTATTTCAAGTGTTCGTTATGAGTCCAAAGGTTTCCAAACACTGGTGGTTTCCTTGCAAACGTTCAACCGTTGCCAAGACTTCAGAAAACACTCATCATTGTATAATTATTTGATCGGGTGTAAACATAACATGGCTATAAAAATAGTCGAAGTGCCTTACGCCTGGAAAGAGGACATCCCAAAATAAACAAAATCAGTCAAACCATTGTCGTTCAGTAAAGACAAGCATTTATTACTTTACACACCCATAAGAGTGACAGAGACAGACTACAAGGGGCAAATTATTTATTCTGCAAAAGAAAAAAAAAGTGCCCGCCTTGTCTTGGATCAATGAGTTGGAGGTTCAAGTGGGGCTGGAAACTTGACAGTTTAGACGGCAACTTTGGCCTGAGTGGTCTTGGCCAGAGCCTTCAGGTCTGTGATGCACTTGGCGATGCTCTCCTTCTCCTGTGAGGCAACCAACAAGTGAAGTTCAGTAGGACACTTGTCACATTTTAATGAGAACATTTTCAAAGGAAATGATTTAAAAATGAAGCACTACCATCAACACTACATGTTGTTACAGTCCACTATCTTGACATCTTTAAAAGATCAGTATACAGAAGCTAAGTAGACGTTTGCGTCAGACTGACAAACATGCCACTTTATAGCTACTTTCTTGAAAAGGGGGAATAAAACAAAACATTCAAGGTTAGGCATTTGAAATTTACTGTATTTTCTGCACTATAAGGCGCACCTTCAATGAATGGCCTATTTTAAAACAGTTTTCACATATAGGGTGCACTGCATTATAAGGCGACATAGAATAGAAGCTACAATAGTGGCTGCAGTTACGTTATGCATCCACTAGATGGAGTCACACTAAAAGGAATACAATACAGCTTTAGTTATATAGAGCCTTCACAACCGCTGCAGCATCACAAAACATTTAAAATACTACGTCCAAGCAATCAGAATATTGATCCATTTGTCGCTCCCGAAGGATGTAGCATGCAGCACGACACAAAGCCCATAAAAATACAGAGTTCATTCCTTGGCAACCTGTGAGAATTGGTCACAAGCACGAACATGACACATATAACTACAAATGGATTACAAAAACACTAAATGAAAGACACTCGTTCTGAAGACAATTGATTCAACAAAAAGGCCCACAAACCCCGTGGGCTCACATCCACAAAGGGCTAAATATCCTCAGAAGTCTTGTCTCCTTCCTTCGTTGGTTTAGTCAGTCGTTAACTATGCTTTTACATACACACACCGTGTATGTATGTATGTATGTATATGTATATATATGGCGCATCGGTTATAAGGCGGACTGTCAGCTTTTGAGAAAATTGAATGCTTATAGGTGCGCCTTGTAGTGCGGAAAATACGGTATGTTCAAATCATATGTAAAACAATTCAACTGAATACATGGTAAAATACAGGCCTTGAGAATAGCACATGTAACAAGCCGAAACTGGGAAAGTCCGATAAGAATAAAGCTCACCTGCTGAGGCGTGATGCTGCTCACGACGTTCTTCTCCACCCAGTTGACCATGTGCTCCTGAGCCATGCGGCGCTGAAGATCCTGCAGGGCAACCTGGTAGTCCAGGCGCTTCTTCACCTCGTTAGTCACCATGTGTATCCTCTCTCTGTAGTTGGTCTCCAACAGCATGGCTACGTTGTTCTGAGGGGAAAAAGGGACATTATGACTAAACAACCTTTGATCGGCGACCCAGGCTAAGAAGCATCTTGCAGTCGGGCTTCGTAAAAAGAAACTGACACAAAGTACATTGTTTTGGTACAATTCCATTCGTCTTCCATATGTAGGACTAATTGGAACTAGCATTTTTATTGTTTTTTGTGTGTGGGCCTTAGTCAAGTCGGGGCGATGAATTATGGCTATAAATACAGCAGGAAAATATACATCACCATTTCAAAACATTTGCAATCACTTCCAATTGATGGGCATTATTGTATGGTGCATTTTCTGCTTCTCGCCAGCAGAGGTTGACAAAAAGTCGCAATGATGCAGTATAACAGTCCTGTGAAGGCCAGGCGACATGAAGCCTTATTGGGTGGAGGCCCCAATGGGCCACCTTCAGCCATGTCGTGGTGGCTCTGCCAGAATCGGCATTGCTCCCACATTCCACTCATGCACATGCTCGGTTTATTGAAGACTAAAAATGATCAACACGTGTGAATGGGCGTGCGAATGGCTGAAATTTAAAAAAGTCCGCATAGATAAGAAACGTTAATTTACCCTCTTTGCGTCGAAGAGCATCGATCGGCCCTCGACTCGCCACTGTTCCTTCTTCTCATCCTCGATGGCCTGAGTCAAGCTAGTCATGGCTGAGTCTTTCACCTCCTGAGCTTTGGCCACTTTATCCTTGAAACACAGCAAGATATTAGAAACCCAGATTACAAAAAAAATAAAATAAAATAAAATAAAAAATCTGGGATATGGGGTTTCGGGTGAATCTTCGCTAGGAAGCTGAAATGCACTCAAATCTTGACATGTGAAACTTGGACCGACTCTAAACTTTTGAATGCACAAGTCCAACATGTTCAATTTTTCAGTACTTTTCACACAAGCTGTTCTCTAACAAAGAACGGAACAGCTTCACCAAAAAGTATTGAAACATTGACCAGATGGTCACGAGTATTCAAAAGTTGAGAGAAATTCTGGTTGACCTCACATGTGAAGGTTAAAGTGCACTTTGAGGTTCCTCCTGAAAGTTGAGGACTTTTTGTGAGGAGCGCACATACAAAGGAGCTGAAAGCTTGTATCTTTATTTAAAATAGAGGGGTGCACATTTGCATGAAAAGATCCTATGCAAAACATCCACCAACCTCGTTGAGTTTGTCGGCAAAAGCTGCAACGCTCGGGCCGAATTTCTTGATGCCGTAGATGATGACGGCGCCAATGGAGGCAGCTGCAAACGTCTCGTGGTTGATGACATAGATTTCCTTGGAAAGCATGTAGAGGATGAGGCCGGTGCCCAACATGTAGGGTCCTAGATGACAGGGGGGAAGCTTTCATTGTCAGACAGGAAAGTTTGCGCTCGTACTGGGTCTGAAGACTGCTGTGCACTTTGTTTGGTGTTCATCAGTTTTGTGCCATTCTCAAGGGGAAGAAAGAAGGAAAAAAAAATCACAGTATGTGGTAATTGTTTTCATTCAAACCCTTTGTTGTTGAAAGCTGAATCTTTCATCCATGCATTGAGAAACGCACTATGAAAAATGAAAAACCTTAAGAGAACACATTTCTTAGCTAGTTTGTCCATACTTAAAACTTCGTTTTAGTCATAGACCTGGTTAGGAAATTGGGATTCCTATGCGTGGCCCCGAGTAGCACTGATGGAAAAATTGTGAGACCTCCAGCATTTAAGTTGCCCATCTCTCCCATAGAAATATTATCGTCATAGTCACTTGTACTTTAATTAATGTTATACAGCCAGTGAAATATTAACCATGTTTTTTCTTGCAACGATTATGTTTGGATTGCTTGAAAAAAAAGCGAGTGACGTGGACCCCAGCATACACGTGGTTCGGCACCTGCGGATTTACATATTTGTGACTTACGAAAAATGTGTATATATATGTGTGTATATATATATATATATATATATATATATCAAATATCTATCTATCCATACATCCATTGTAACCACTACATTTCAATGTGTGACAGTTACATGCTGATTTTTGCTATTCGCAGGTCGGAGCAGTCCCAATTCCCCTGGGGATTCACAATAATGCTTGCAGTTGAAGATCACTGACCCGTCACTCCAGTTTTGGGGTACAAGAGCTGGAAAAGCTCCTCTGGGATGATGCCATGACGGACTTTGCCTCCCTTCTCCGGCAGAGGGGCCACTGGAGATAGACTCTGGGGTGATGCATGGAGGCAGCGAGACACCTGGACCAGGCTTCATGAGAAAGCAAAGAAAAAGAAGAAGAAGAATTAAATGGGGGAAACATCACCAGTGCAAACTCATCTGTAAGGTTTTGTTGTTATTGTTTAAAGCACATACCCAGCTCCGAGGGGGCTGCTGCCTTTCAGGGCATTAGCTGCGAACCAGAAAACAAAACAAAAAAAGAACATTAATACTGGATGGTTAAATTCTCCAGGTCAATTTACCTAGTAACTCACGAAAAAATTACCCCAAAACCTTCATGGTGGTACGGTTTACCTGTATGCCCTCCTCAAATTTACTACCCTTTGGATTTTCAAGGCGAAAAATGTCCACTCTCGAACAAATAGGAATGTAACGATAACGCTAATATTGTCGTCATGTCATGATGTTAAAAACACCATATGTGTTAAGCCAACATCAGACTCCATGAATGTAGCCCAATTTTGAACTGACGGACAGGTTGCGGACAAACGTATTGCCTCGTAGCGTAGTCCGTGTAGCGTGACATACTCAATGACTGTTGAGTACAACCTCGACGATGAAAATCTGCCAGAGCTGAATTTTTGCTCATCTTGCCACATAATGTGTCTTGTCATGGGGTGACTTGAACAAAAGGGGAAACATTGGAAGGTATACGAAGCATTTCAACTCATGCTATGTTTGCTAAGTGAAAAGCTCGTAGCCGATTCCCTACGGATTGACAGTTTGAAATATCCTGTTTTTGTACATTAGATGTATTTTTTTTTAAACCGAATAAATTAATTAAAAACAGATTTCTCTATTAAAATAATCGTTAGTGGATGGATTGGTATCGGAAAGGGCAGCATAAAATACTGATCAGAAAACCCCTCACTTTATATTTTGATAAATCAACTAATTAATCGTTTATGAGAAATTTGTTCTGGAAATGTCAGAATCCGACTAAAAAAAATCTATATCAGTCGGGACCTCACCAGCATAGGAGCTGAATCAGTAGTGTGATTTTAACAAATCCTTTTTTTGAGTTCTTACTTATTGAGGTACAGAGTGCGTGGTACTTTTGCTACCTCTGAAAACATGCAAGGGTTGAAAACGTACTACGATCGTACATGCATGTAATTAAACCGAAAGGATTGCCAAATATTTTTTTTTAAAAGGGAAAGTAATGTACAAAAACGCCGCAGGGTGTATAAAATAATATAGACCTTATAATAAGTATGTGACTGTCAAGGATAAACAGACGAAGTCGCCACGCTAGCTGTCAAGTAAGAAGGTGACATCTACAGTAAAGCAATGAGCTATAAAGCCACCGACTACGTATTCCAAAGCTATTGCGTCGTTTGCTGAAACGCAAAGAAATAAGCACTATCTCCCAAATATGCATGCTTTCCGTTTAGAGTATTAAGAAGTCATTTTCGCTTGGAAAGTTTGCTAATATTAGCTTCTCACTCATTCAACTCGCGGCCTTCACTTTACCCTTCAGGTTTACCCACAGTATGTGCTTATCCTTTGCTCCAGTAAGGCTAAGTTGCCGTTCTGCGTTACCGTCAAAACCCCGAGGTGTTCATACCTGAAACGATAACAAGCCTGGACAGCATGCTTGATGAATGAAGAGCCAAGTTGTCCGCAACACCGGGCACCGTGTTTCGGTCTCGTCGTGCCCTTCTGCAAAGAGCAGCAACGATGGCGGACAAAAACGAGAACTTCCACCGACAACTCGCGATATTACATGCAAAATACACTTACTGACAATGCCCACTAGTTGATGCTGTTTGACAGATTGAGTTTGACACCGTCAAGCGGTTTAACCAAGTCATTTTGACTTTACTATAATTGTATTCGTAAGTATACATACTCAATGAGATATAAACTTTTGAGCACAACTGTATTCAAACATGCAATTGTGCTCATAATTTTACAGACTTTTCGAGGGCATGTTTCCCAACCAAGGGGATGCGTGCCCCTTGGGGTACATGAGCACATTGCAGGTAGGTACTTGGAAACATTTGATAATTTATTTCCCAGATCAATAACCTGTGGAACAGCAGCACCAAAAATCACCACAGCCACGTGTCAACTCAAGTGACTCATTAAAGCTCAGCCGAGAGGTTTTGAATGTTTTTCTTGTTCAGTGTTTTGTTCCTTATACCCTGTACAGTATTTAAAATTTAGTTGCTTGCTTGTTTTAATTGGACTTATTAAACAGAGTACAGCAAAGGCAAGTTTATTCTTAATTTCGGTTTGTATATATATGTTTTATTGATATTACTGATCTATTTTCAAGGCAACATATGCTTTATGTTTGAGTTAAAAAGAAAACAATCTCTCAGAATTAAGAAAGAATCCCTAACATGTACAGTATGAGTGAGAGGGTATTTATGGTATGACAAAAAAAAGTTTGGGGGTACTCAAGCCCAAAAAAGGTTGGGAACCATTGACCCAGGTTATGTAAACTTATGAGCACAATTGTATGTTCCGTGAACATACAAGACAAACTGTTAAACCAGTCTGTCACATTTGACCTTGGAAATATGCAACGGCCCACATTTGTTATTTAATGTTTTGTAATTCTATTACTTTTTACTGTCACCTAAAATAACAAAAGGCTTGAATATGAACACAGGATCCCAAAACATACACAAGGTCAATTACACAGTAGGCTGTGCATTATAGTTGGATCTATCGCTATGGAATGAGTAACATCAGAAAGTAAAAACAAAAGTTATGAAGGGGTGGGGGGAGGAGAAGGAAACACGTATTTTTGCAACAAAAGAAACAAATAATAATGTAAAGTATTAAATAAAGTCTCCCTCCTCAAATGGTGAGGCGTGCAGGCCGGGGGGGTTGCTTTATCTGTAATCTTTGGGCCCACCCTGGTAATGCATCGGTTTGGCATGAGTGGCTGTTGAGATAGAGGAACAAATGACGTGGAGGTCCCCTTCACTTCCTGAAAAATTGTGCTCAGCAGAAAGAGTTATGTGAAAAAAGACAAGACAGCCTCAATCTCCATTTAAAAGAGTTGGGGGCGGGGAGCTGAGGAATGGATGATTTCTGAATAGCTGCATGAAGCGTGTTCCACTCTGGATGAGATGGCGTGGTAGGTGGGCTTCTAAAATTTCTGTATTTCGAGAATTTTTTTCTTAAACGTTGGATTTCCTTGCACATTTCACCACTCCATGTGCATCATCTAGCTCCATTCGGCATTCTCATGTTTACAACGTACAACAAATGTCCTCATTCGTGGCACTATCTGGTGTCAATTTAGTGTATTTACTAAATGAAATAAAGTTTTGTGGCTCTACATTTATACACATGTACAGTTCTTGGGGGTTGCTTTTCACATTCATTAGCCATTTTCAATAGACACACAGCAGAGGCAAACCTAGATGCAAATTTTTTGGAGCATTGGTAACATAAAACAGAGCACATAGCCTGAAAATGCCCCAAAAAAATACAGATATATTATCGTAGTTGTGGCACTCTATAACAGTATATTGTTGTTGTTTTTTACATAACTCACATTCATTCAAAGTTCAAAGTAGTTCGTGTAGCTATATGAATCAGAATGCATTATATTGTATTTTATTATGTGTGTAGGCCTTCTAGTCGGCAAAAAAGAATCGCAAGTGGGCGGACCGGGGAAAACCATTACTTGTAAAACACGAGTGCAGTCGTATCAATACATTTCGTTTGTGCAATGCGTGCCTGCGTGTGTGCGTATAGGCAGTGGGGTTGTTGACCCGGGCTATGGACGTGCTTTGTCTCCGCGGTCTCCAAGTATCCCCCGCGAGAGACTTTGATCGCAAAGTGGAGATCAGAGCGGAGAAACATGAGCAGCTACGAAGACGTACGAACGTGACGTCATGCCGGATCCCCGCTAGAGACGGCGACGCGGCGCTGCTGAAACACACGCTGAAGAACAAGAGGCAAGTGGAGTTCATGAGGAGGAGGTCGCTGCCTCCACTGCCTGTCACCCGAGAAAACTCTTGGTTCTCGAGCATCTCCGCCCGCTATTCTTCTTCTTTTTCTTCTCCGTGGAGCACGTCAGAGTGGATTAGCCGACAGAGGAGCCTCTGTGACGGCGGCGGCGAGGACGCGGGCCACCTTGTGAGTGTTTTGTTTTCATCACTTGACATCATAAGTGGCTAAAGTACTCATACACTTGACTTAAGTAGAATTAAAGATACTTGTGTATAAATGGGTAAAAGTAGAAGTGCTGATTCAACTCCTGTACTTATATGATTGTTAAAAAAAAAAAAAAAATTGGATCCCACTCTGAGATCTACTTAAAAACTCATTCAGTACCAGCCAATTCTAGACCAAGTCTGAAAAGACGTTTAAAAACATCTTTGGGAGTGAATGAGTTAAGCGCAAAAATACAAAAATGTAAAAAAGAAACAATACTTTCTATCGTGTACAATAAATACTGATAATATGGCACAACGGAAAAAACTCACAAACCCAAAAATAATTTCCCTCTTATTAATTTACACAGTGCTCTTGGGAAGAAAAACAAAAACATTACATGTCGCATGTTTTCTAAACCGGGTTGGTGTTGGCTCGACATTTATGCCATTGAAACATGTTCTCAATCGAAGTAACAAAAATGTTACATTAGCTAATAATGACCACTAGACAAATTTATCTGATGAGTTTTTACAGATTGGACAGAGAATTTTTACACATCACACACTTAATAATAATAATGCATTTTATTTATAAGCGCCTTTCAAAATACCCAAGGACACTTTACAATCAAAAAAGAGCAATTACGGTTTTTAGGCTGGCACAAGCCAAGGAGTAGCAGTTAATGTATGAAAATGATCCTTAATAAGGATATGGATGGAGAATATCTTGCTTCTTCCAATCTGTTATGTCATAATTGTTAATAGTTCATGGTCGTCCATGTAGCTGATCCCTGTTTTTCCGCAGAGGGACCCGAGTCCTCAATCAATCAAGATTTCAACACGGGTTGCCAGCTCATCCACAAAGGTTGAAAAAAGTAACCGGCCTATTTTGACAAAGACGGAGAAAGTACAAATTTCTGTTTTCAAATGTGACATAATGTCATGATGTATTGCAGTGAATGTATTGTACCGAATGCAATGAGGCAACTTGAAAGCAAAGCACTCACGTCCTCTTCTTGCATCACCAGGTGATGATGAAGATGATGGTACAGGACGAAGCCTGCGTGGAAGTGATCAAGGGGGAAAAGAGCGCACATGAAATAGACAGTGTCAAAGATGGTAGGTGGCTGATTGGTATTTGTATTGAAGTATTTGCAGCGTGGCTACACACTATGAAATCAAATGTTTTTTGTTTTTTTTTTTCAAATCTTTTACCAAGCTACACACACTCCCCAACAAAAGATGAGAGAAGCCAGTGTCCAGACAGAGTGAGTGACAAAAGCATTTTCAATCTTCTTGTAGCCGCGGCCATCTTTCTGGTTTTATGGTCTAAATGGTTTTATTGCAGATTGTCGGGGGGGAGGGGAGTGCCATTAAGTTACCATATTGAACTTTATTGAGCAATGTAGGACATCTAAAAATAAAAATAATAATATATTTGGTCATCACTTTTGCAGTTCAGGCCTTGTGACCATCAAAGAATCAGTGAGTTCACAATTGTTGTTTTGCTATTTTTACTGACACAAAAACCATGACATGAAAAAAAAACCCACCATAACTCAATTTATATTTTCCAGGATATTCTGCAGTTACAGGACTACATGCAGGTGAGCTCTTTTGTTGCACTGCTATATTTTGTTGTTATAGGCGCAAACTTCAGTTCAGGATTTTTAGGACTTTTACTAATGAAGTTACTATATTTACATGATAGTTTTCTAACCAGTCTGCTTCCATTTTCATACACAGACACACACACACATGCACTCCTGTGTAAAAAATGTTGCATCTTGAGTTTTGTGCAGGTGTAACATGTCTGGCAATTTGTTTGACTGTTATGCCATGCTGGGTGCTCCAGCGGATTGAGAGCATTTTCTTTTACACGCCCCCAACGCATCTGACAATTTGGTGACAGAAAGTAGACCAGACTTTAGACCAGGTGATACCAGGTCGCATGATCCGTAGGTGGAAGGTGGTCTAGCGCTATGATGTTCAACTTGTCTACTTATTGGCTGACTTAGATTTAAGGTTTCTTTTTTTTTCAGACAATGGTCTTTTTTGGTGAAGAGAAAAACTCTTACCTAGCTGACCTAATGGAAGGTGGTCTCCTAGTGGCCACTTCACAGAGGCCAACTTTAGATCATGCGCAAGTGGAGATCTTCTTGTTGTGTTGCACGTGTCAATCTCCTCCATGGACTCCCCTGATTCGGTTTATGTTCTCGCCACATAGACCAATTAATGTCTCCTGCGCTGAATTAAACGATAGTGTCAGGAGGCACTTCCATTGGCTTTAAAGCAAATTGTCTGTGTTCACTCCCACAACAGCGCAAACGCCCGTTTCTAACTGTGACTATGTAGGAAACTACCAAGAGAAAGAAAACTCCACCCATGCATACAGTTTTATCTGTCAGGCTTGTGTAAATAGCTCTAACCTCATCTGATGCCGTTTCTCTATCAAGGAGGGCCTGTGGAGGGAAAAGGCCATCAAGAAGAAAGTCGCAGCATTGCAGGACTGTTGCATACAGCTGCAGAACGCCTTAAACGCGTTATGGATGGTAAGTGCGACTGGAAACATTGTTGTAAGACTGGTGAGGTATGCTTCATCACCGCCATAAACAGCAGAGGAATGGCAGCTGTCACCTCAGGAAGGCCGATCAGCTCTGTGGTTTCCTGCCTCCGCTCTTGTCTCTACCGATGAGCGCAAGTTGTCAATCTTAAACACGAAGGGGCGGGGGCAGGTTACAGTTAGCTTTGTGATATAAAAAAATGGTGGTTCAATACAGATCAATTGACTCAGATATCAAAACATCTAAATGTAATCTGAATTACGAATGAAGACAGTATGATGAAGGATGGGCAGTGCGGTGGTAGTTGTTTGCATGTCTGCCTCGCAGCTGTGAGGTTCGGGTTTGAAACCCGACTCCGTCTGTCCTGCATGACATATTTTTAAAGATGTACATCTGCTGAAACCTGCTTGTTATGTTGTAACTTTGACTATGCATTAACTGGCAGGCGGTTTTCATTAGTTCAACTCAGGGAAGTGTTTTTTTTTTACTTTCTATTTTGTTACGAATTGCCATCCTTCCACGTAACCCGTTTCATTTCTAGGTGCAACATGACAGCTCGTTGTTTCCTTGCTAAACCCGCAGGCTCGCTGCAGTGAAGACGTGCTGAGAAACAAGATTAAGCTTCTGGAGACACAGCTGCAAACATGCCTGCAGGTAAATAAAAAAAATAAAAACTAAATAAAAAAAAAAAACAAAACAAAACAAAAAAAACTGTTTTCCACTATGGTACCATAAAGTCGATCATTATCTGCTGCAAATTTGAAAACGTTCAAAATGGGAGTTTCTCAGTCCAAACTGCTGCCAACATAAAAAGGTAACAAATAGGTGACATTTCAACAAAATCGCTTATCACATAATGCATTGCATTTTTGAACATTCACCGTTCCTTCCATCCATGTTTCAATTTGAATCCACCACTACGGTTATGTAAAATCCTAAAACTTAACACACCCACTTATGACACTACCCCCCCGATCACAAGTGACAAGGATTTGGTATCTAACCAGTCGTGGCTAGCGTAAGAAGCAAACAAACTCGTCTTCATCTTGACTCAGCTCCTTGTCAATCAATACAAATCCGACAGACTCAAAAGCATGACATCACTCCCCACAGACAGATCCAAATAAAAGTCCCTTGTTCATCAAAAGCTGTCCTGATAGAGGTAGGCAAAGTTTGGACCAGGGGCCGCATTCGGTAACATGATAAGTAGTAACTGCTGTCCCTGAAAGGGTAAGTATCAAGAGTCTAAAAATATTTGTTGCAATAATGTATAAAAACAAAACATATTATATAATGTATTAATCCATTATTTACCATAAACAATTGTACTCTTTTTTTTTTTTCTTAACCTCATCTGAAAATGACTTGACTCATCTGCCTGATTAACAAAATCTATTAAGGCCCAACTGTGTGCTAGAAAGTCCCACCTAGCCTAGTTTAATGGAACAAAAACTAGTTGTCGAAGCCAAGCACAGTCAAGCCAGCAACGGCGCCTAACATTGCTTCACAACAATTGTGTATGGTCATCCGGATGGCTACTCACGATCATCTCTATCATGATACTGAAACAGGTACCTGCTTAGAGTGTGGATCTTCTTTGTCTCCTTCCTTATTCGTCCCTTCGGAGAAAAAAAATAAAAAATGGTGCATAAAGCCACAAAGCCAAACTTGTACAACTTTTGGTGTGTTTGAAAGTACCACTGTATTTTGTTACCTTTCCTAAGTGTGCCTGTAAAGGTTGAGCTCATCGTTCATCTTCGGCCCATGAGTGGATTTGACGAAGCATTGTGAATTCTTGCAGAGGTTTCCGAAGGAAGCGTCGATGAAACTGGCGCTCCAAATGAAGAAGCAGAAATTCACCTTTGAAGAAAAGATTCAGAAAGTCATGCAGGAGCAAAATGAGGACCTCAGCAAAACTGTCACACTTATGTCTTTTAAGAATCCAGACATTCAGTCCCAGGTACGCATTTTTATGTCTTCTATGTTTTTTTTTTTCACGTGGAAGGTTCGATTCTGAAGAAGGCTGGCAGTGAATAAGTTACGGTCAGAAATGAACAAATCAAGTCAATTGTATTCATATCGTTTCCAATCTATGGCGTACCTGTGTGTCAGTTGACATTGGTGTGCTGCTAGAATCCATCCATCCATTTTCTGATCTGCTTTATCCTCACAAGGGTTGCGGGGGGTGCTGGAGCCTATCCCAGCCGTCTTCGGGCAGTTGGCAGAGGACACCCTGAACTGGTTGCCAGCCAATCGCAGGGCACACAGAGACGAACAACCATCCATGCTCACACTCACACCTGGGGACAATTTCAAGTGTCCCATTAACCTGCCACGCGTGTTTTTGGAATGTGGGAGGAAACCGGAGTACCTGGAGAAAACCCACACAGGCACGGGGAGAACATGCAAGCCCCACACAGGAAGGCCCGAGCCGGAATCGAACCCTGCACCTCTACACTGTGAGGCCGACGCGCTAACCAGTCGACCACTGGGCTACCCCCTGCTAGAATCAACAAGTAGAATTCAAATGATGTCACTGGTGGTACAAGTAGCACACAGTTGTCAAATACTGCACAAGTTTGCCTCACTGGTCATGTGTAGTTGTTTTACTAGTATTCCGAAGTTGGGCTACTAGCAGTGGCGGACAGTGAGTGTCCGACATTGGACTTCAGTGGGTAGTTAATGTAATGTAGGTCCATGCTTCTAATCATGTTTCAGCCAGCAGAGAAGGCCTTGAAGGCCCTTGAGTGTGTGCCACTGCCTACTAGTCAGGACAAAAAGCATAGTTACCACTACATGGACCTTAAGATTGATATCAAAGATTTCTAATCAATGCTAAAGTGGTGGGCGGCTCGGTGGTACAGTGGTTAGCGCTTCGACGTCACAGTGCAGAGGTCGTGAGTTTGATCCCGGCTCTGGCCTTCCTGTGTGGGGTTTGCATGTTCTCCCTGGGCCAGCGTGGGTTTTCTCCGGGTTCTCCAGTTTCCTCCCACATTCCAAAAACATGCATGGCAGGCTGATTGAACACTCTAAATTGTCCTTAGGTGTGAGTGCGGATGGTTGTTCGTCTCTGTGTGCCCTGTGATTGGATGGCGACCTGTTCAGGGTGTCCCCCGCCTACTGCCCGAAGACGGCTGGGATAGGCTCCAGCACCCCCACGACCCTTGTGAGGATGAAGCGGATCGGAAAGTGGATGGATGGATGTTAAAGTGGTTTTTCCAAACCTTGTGTTACCAGGAAGCGCTGATTACCGCAAAAACAGACGTCTCGAGGCTGCAGAGCCTTTACGAGGAGCTTAATCTCACAAGTCAAAAACTCCGGCAGGAGCTGGAAGTCAGTGGGAAACGAGCACGAGAGCAGGAAGCACAGATTGAGGTTGGTACACAGACGCCTTCTCGTCTCCTGGACGAGCGGTCCGACATTTCAACTGTCAAACGCGGGTGTGGGCGCAGCTGTCCAGGGGCAGAGAAGCCACGCTGACCGAGGAGCTGGTGTCACTGAGAAAAGAGAAGAATGAGCTGCTGTTCCACAAAAGCCTGCAGGAGGAATATTATCCATTTGTGAAGGACCAAAAGCAGAATTTAAGCGGTAAGCTTTCTCCACCCACACTATCCACCTTGAATCTCCTAAAAGGAAAACATGACATGGACAGAGGGAGCAAATGTATTGATACTCTTAAGTACAAATACAGATACTTGTTTAAAAAGAAGACTGGTGTAAACAAAAACAAAAAAAAGTCTGGTATAATCAGAAGTCCTGATGAAGTTCCTTTACGTCAGTAAAAGTAAAAAAATAAAATAAAATAAAATAAAATACAGCCTGAAATTTAAGTCCAAAACATTTTTTCTGACGGTCACTGAAAATAACTGCTGTCACTTCATAGTGAAAAACTGTTTTCCCTTCTGTTGCTCTCGTACTGATAAGAAAAGAAAACAATCACCAGATACGCTATCACACAGGTGTCGAACTCAAGGTCCGAGGGCCAGATGTGGCCCGCCACATAATTTTAAGTGGCCCGTGAAAGCAAATCAAAGATGGCAACTTCCACGATGCTTGCTAAAATCTGTACCAAATTTTTAAATTTTCATATGTAAAAAAAACAGTGACATTTTTTTAGCATTTTTTTGTTAGCAATCCACTCATTACAGTTACTTCAACAAGAATTGTATAAAACGTTATTCTTGACTTCTTTATATAGTTTCAGTCATCACGGCCCTCTAAGGGAAACGGTAATTCTAATGTGGCACGCGACAAAAATTTATTCGACACCCCTGCACTATCATAACCACGTTCCCAAAGCTGTGCTAACATTCTGAACTGACTCACAAAAATTGCTAACTTGTGTAGCTAATGCTCACAACTTCAAAATGACACATCACCTGAGGTTGTTTTTTTTTTCACATTTGACTGAGAATTTTTTTTCAGACTATCACAAAGCAGAACATATTTGACCCAAAACATTTTTCTAGCCGACAATGTCAGTTGCTATAAATGAGGCCAGGGATGGGGAACGTCTTGCTTCTCCGAATTTGTTGCGTCAAATTTGTTAAGGCTTCCTGGTTCGTGTTCTTCCGTCACGCTGCTTACTCTGTTTTTTGATTTGTTTTGTTTTGGGGGGTTTTTTGCCTTTTAAATCCCCAAGATCTCAATAAATCAAGACCTCCACAGCAATTGACTTTACTTTGGTCTCTATTCACATCTTTTTTTTCCATGTCATCATACCGCAGAGACTTGAAAATGTACTCAACCTACTTGTCTCTCTCTCTGAGTATACTGTGTATAAATATATCAAAACTCCTATACCTTAAAAACGTACTCAAGAGCAGTCCTCGTTACCATTGGACACGGAAACTTCACGTCGTAACAAGTCCGATTTCTGTTAGATGGCAGCATCGAGAGACGAGACGTGAGTGTTCAGAGTACACTTGAGGGAGAAGAAGCTTCACCCACTGTGGACTGTGACGTGGTGGAGCGGCTTCATAACACTCAGGAGGAGCTCCGTATCAAGGAGAAGGAGGTGACCAGGACAAGAACACGCTTGCTTTTAGTAGCATTTTCAGTCATTTCAATGGGGCAAGATTACCACACGACGTACAGCATGTTAAGTTTGCCCAAGACTAAACTGTCTGTCAATATGACTGACTACACAGTGTGAGGCCCTGCAGACTGAGCTGCACACCATGGAGCAAGAGTTTCAGTCCAGTCAGACTCGACTGTCGCAGTGTAGAGAAGAACTTCGGCAACTCGGACGCCACCGCAACAAAGCAGTAAGCAGTGTCTGTGTGTGTGTGTCTCTTTATAGCTGCAAAGGATTGTTTAATGCTCATAAGGTGGTAGCTCAAAAAGACTCTTTAAACGCTCCCTTAATTCTCAGCGCAAATAAAACATGAACTGTTACTCAAATGTGAAAATGGATTTGAACCACCAAGATAAAACATTCAAACACTTTTGATCACAAGTAACACGCCCCCTACGCATCTGACAATTTGGTGATATAAATCTTGAATCTGACAAAAGTACTCACTCAACTCAACTTTAGCGTCCTGTTTAGGTTCCGAAAATTAGTATTACAGGTTTCTTCAAATTTTTAATCAGTCAATTATAGGGTGACGAGGTGTCGCTGTGCTGTTTGGTAGCATGCCGTGTACCACACTAAACATGGACCAGAGGAAGGGAGGGAGCGAGTTGGCTCAGGAAATGATAAAGAAATTCATAGACAAGCACGTTAAAGGTAAATGCTATCAAACCATCTCCAAGCAGCTTGATGTTCCTACCGTTGCACATATTATTCAGAGCTGTAGGATCCACAGGACTGTCGCCAACCTGCCTGGATGTGGCTGCAGGTTGATGACAAATTAAAGAGGCGGACATACAGATTGTAATAAAAGACGCCAGAACAACCTCCAAAGAAATTGAAGGTGAAGTCCAAGGTCAAGGTACATCAGCGTCACAACGTACCGTCTGGCGTTTGAGCCAAAATGGACTTCATGGAAGATGACCAAGGAGGACACCACGGTTTTATCAGATTCAAGTTATTTCTATCCCCAGCGCAGGTTTTCCTTTCGTTAACAGAGGGGTACCAATAGTTTTGTCCACGTGTATATCTGGGATACCTGACAACAGCAAGCGCTGTCCACACCGTTGCAGCTGAAGCATTTCTTTCCTCTTTGTGCAGACGAGGCAGGACACCCGTTGGAGATCATGCATGTTCCTTGTTCTTCTTCTGCTGATGCTGCTGGTGTGGGCTGTGATGGGAGTTGCCATATTGCAGCCGTGGCATCCGCATTTTGGGGAGAAACTAGAACACTTCTACTGGGACATAAAGAGACGAATCGAGAATTATTTCATGCAAATGGCCTCCCCAAAAGACTCGGGCTGTTTAAGGCCAGTGTGACAGTGTAACATTTGGAGGATCGCTTGTCCTTCGGTTTTCAAATGTGAAATGTTTGAATGTTTTCGTGTTACTTGTTGATATTTTCGAGACATTTTATGTGTGTGATGTTAAAAATTATATTTTTACAATGAAAATGTAGTTCTGATTACTTTTTTCCAATATATTTTTGAAGTCTCGATTACAGTGGGCCCCTGCTAGCCCGCACATAGCAAAAATCTATACGTAATCGATAGCTATTATTCATTCATTAAAAAAAACAAGTCTATATTTTTATTTATTGACTGATTCGTTTAACCACCCAAAAAAATCTTGAAAAATCGGGGTAAACATCCAATGACCATGTTCCACAAAAAAAATGATGCTCCCACAAAATAAATATTACAAAAAATATAGGGGAACAAAATCAGCGAATAGGTGAATTCATGTAATAATAATGAAAACAATAAAAATACAGTATGTGTCCTTTATATTTGACAATCAATATTTTGTCACAGTCAAACAGTATGGGATTTTCTCATTACATTTTATCAATATTATGTTTAGGGTTTATAAATGAATATGTATATAAAATGATCATGAGGATGATGATTGTAAAAATAATAACCAATTCTATATTGCGTGAATGGATCAGTTTACCACCGATTCCATCAGACCCGCACGGAAATTCTCCAGGTCAGAAATGCATGAAATTGCTCTCGTCAAGCGTGGACAGCAACAGAATCTCTTTGCACTCAAACCAGCTTTTTTTTTTCCTTTTTTTTTTTTTTTTGAAAGAGACAACACGCTCAAAGGTGAATTGTGTTTGTGGTCATTGTTGATTCCACGGAGGGCCTTTTTCGCAGTTCCAGATAAAGCTCTATTATCATCTGGCACTGACACAGCACATCCAGCACACAAACCTGCAGTTTACCTGCGCGTTCCGTGTCACGCAACACACGGATCCCACCCTGGCTGGAGGTTGCTCATGCGTGTGCTCAAAAGTGGAGGTAAGAGGATGATGTACTGGGCCCGTGGGGAGGGTATCACGCCCAGTATTATTTCCATTTACAGCAGAAATAATCGTCCACGTGATGAAGACTGTGGGTCTGCTGTGCGTGGTGGGACTGTGTGCGTTAAACGCAGCGTTTTCCATGAAGATCTGCGCTTTTAATGTTCAGAGCTTTGGAGAATCCAAGGCAAACAACAAGAAAGTGATGGGGATTCTACTGAAGGTACATGTTACCTGAGTAACATGGTCACAGAACTCGACATGATTTTTTTGTGTTGACTATTTTCTTCCCAAAGATTATTTCCCGATGCGACCTGTGTCTCATTCAGGAGGTCCGCGACTCTAAGGGACGAGCAATACAAACCTTGTTGAAAGATCTTAACAGGTTTGTCAAATTACCGTATTTTCCGCTCTAAAAGTAGCTTCGGAGTATAAGGCGCACCTTCAATGAATGGCCCATTTTAAAACTGTTTTTATGTATAGGGTGCACGGGATTATAAACCGCATAGACTAGAAGTTACAATAGTGGCTGTGGTTGCATTATGCATCCACTAGATGGAGCTAAAGGGAATACAATACAGCTTTATTTATATGGGGCTTTCACCACTGCTGCAGCTGTAACTAAGTTCTTTACAGATCATTTAAAATACTACATCCAAGAAATCAGAATATTAATCCATGTAGAAGGCGCGTCAGATTTTAAAGTGTATTGTCAGCTTTTGAGAAAATTGAATGCTTTTAGGTGTGCCTTATAGTGCGGAAAATGCGGTCAAAGGCTTTCAAAGGGGACATACCAAAGGTCACGACATACGTATTTTCTCCTTCTTGAAAGCTACATTCAATCCGCATCACACACTGCTGACATTTTCCACAGGTTTGACAAATCCAACTCGTATTCCTATGTAGAAAGTGAGAGACTGGGAAGGAAACGCTACAAGGAACAGTACGTCTACATTTACAGGTAAAAACCAGTGGATAGCGTCCCCATCAAAAGGTCAGGGTAAGGTCAGCCTCATGTCACCGTTTGAGCTCTCATCATCTCCACAGAAACAACGTGTTGAAGGTGAAGGAGCAGTATCAGTATCCTAAGCTCGAGGCGCAGGGCACCAATGACACAGATGTGTTCTCCAGGGAGCCTTTCATTGTTCGCTTTCACTCCCCGACCACTCGTAAGATAAAGACACGACACTGCCGGCCGGACGCTACCATGCATAACATCAATGTTCTAGTTTTTTGTTTGTTTTTTTTCTGTAATTATTCTATAATAAGATACGGGTGACCCCAAACAATGAGTTTTTCAAGATTATTTTGCATTGACTTATAAGCAAAAACTGTGTAAAAGGTTACATATCACTGTAGCATCAACATGTGCTTTACAGTCATTAGCAAATATATTTCACCATCTGGTATTATGAAGCCATTTCCATTTCAGGGCGCTCTCAACATGTGAGTGTTTTGAATGGGAATTCAATTTACATTTGTATACCCAAATTTGAGGCGGCTTCTTCGAAGAGGCCAGAATTAAAAAGCAAGCATGACATTCAACCATTAAAACAAGATTTTAACTAAAGGGACACCAGTAACTAATGCCTGAAATGTTACACAGGAAATAATAATGTGGTTGACTGTTTTTTGATTTGTAAAACCGTGAATGTGTTTTCCGTTTTAGTCACGAAGGATCTCGTCCTCATTGGCCAGCATACCAGTCCCAAACGTGCCATGAAGGAGATGGACGAGCTGTATATTGTGTTCACAGAAATCAACCGGAAGTGGAGGACAGAGGTGTTTTTTATTTTGAAATCCCTCCATCTACATGATACCTGTCTGTCTGTCCACATGCTTGATCATGAACTGCAACTTGTGTGAAACTTTCCATTGGGCCAGAATGTGATGATCTTGGGCGACCTGAACGCCGCCTGCGGCTACGTCACCATCAAGGGATGGCGAGCTGTTCGCCTGAGAAGCGACCCCAAATTTCGGTGGCTGATCAGAGATGAGCAGGACACGACCGTACGGGAGAAGACGCATTGTGCGTATGACAGGTTCGGAATTAGTGGTGTGCACTCCATCAAGTTATCATAGCATCAACTTAGAATGGCAACGATTTAGCATTTACAGCCAAAAGTATTTTTCTTTGGGGGGGGGTATTTTTTTCGGTTCTTGAAAATCCTCTGTGTGTTATAATGGTGAACATATCTGCCTCATAGTGGACAGGTTCCAAGTTTAAATCTCACCTCTGGTCTTCCTGTGCATAATTTTGCACTATTATAATCCCCGATTCAGGATCATCGTCCATGGACGTGAAATTTTTTCCACCATAGTGCCCGGCTCTGCTCAGCCATTCAACTTTAAAGAGATTTTCCATCTGACAGAGGAGGAGGTAAATGTTTCTCAAACATGTTTGAGATGTTTGAAGATGTTTGAGAAACGAAACATTTGAAATGTCTGGAGAAATTGCGTGTGAAGGCTGAATTGCTGAATTAAAAAAATATTGAAACTTGGAATAATTCTGAACCAAGTGGAATGATATTGAAAGATAGAATGATCTGAAATTATACTGAACATAATTCGTGTCTTTTCAAATGTCATTGGGAATTAATGTGAAATGTTTTTGTGGGGCGTGACAATGGTTCCGTGTTGAAAATCATGTCCAAGGTGAATTGACTGCGCTGAGCAATTCGAATTTGTAATGGGAATGACATGAATCTGTTTTGTTGAATATGTGATTGAGAATGAATGTGGATTTTTTTGTCGGAACTTATTTGGGAATATGTTGAATTTTTGGTGAGTCACAATTTTTGGAATGCAAATACAATGAGCTGAATGGTTTGTATTTCAAATGAATCTTGATGAGTTTCATTTCTTTCAATTGAATGACTGATCGATTAACTTTTCGATGATATTGTAATGTTTTGAGAGGCACCAGTTTTATTAAATGTTTCAACGGCTCCTTTAGGCCCTTGCAGTGAGTGACCATTTCCCCGTCGAGGTCGACCTGAAGCCAAACCACCATTACCTCCTGCGCAGTGAGCTGTAGCCCGAGAGCTTCTTGGGATGAGCTGCACTTTTTTATTTTTGCCTATTTAATTAATCAAAAACACTATTCAGAGTGTGCCATTCCAACGGTTACATTAAATGTACATTCTTGCTTAATGACATGACTCTTGCTCCTCTGCTGTCAATCAAACATGGATTGCTGTCACACTTATAATTGTGTGTGGGTGTTGTCATGAAAAACCACCAAACGGGTATCACAACACTCCTTTTGTCCATTCTTGGAGCAGAAAACTCAAATGAAAATATTGTATATGTGTTTCATCACTTATCCTCTCCAGTTCAAATTATATGCATCATTCACAGTGATTTACAATTTTATACCGTATGTATGATGATAAGATAAGTTAAGATAACTTATTTGCCTCACAATGGAGAAATTCCCAATTTACAGCAGCAAAATTATGAAAGGAAGAAGTAGATGAACAGAAAGTATATATAAATAAATAAAATATCAATATGGGCTTGTTAAAAATGGGCGACGACAAATTACGGCCGCTTCTCGCATTTAAATTGCCGATCCCTGCAGTTACGTAGCTTCTCCAAGTGCTCAAACACCAACACTTGATGCGTACCAGCAGGAGCCACTTGGCGGCGCTGCATTTACAGAAGAACACCAAAAAACGCTGGGAGGGGAGGCGGAAGTAAACACTCCATAGGTGCGATTGCTTTTACGTCAGGGCAAAAACTTGGGCGGTAGACAAGGAGCGTTCACTCCCGTTGACAGCGCGCTAAAAACTACAACTCGGAAATAAATATATAAAAACGAATAAATAACGATGTTTTTTGTTTTTTCTTAATCACTACGAACGAAAAACGAGGTGTACACACGAAAAGTAGTCGGACGACAAGCGGTGAAGGAAAAGGAGAGCCACAAGTTCCCGAGACCTGCCAATCGTATTTATTTTTAGCAACCGAGACAGTCTGATATTAACGACACGTACGACACTAAGCTTAGGGCGCATCATGTATACATTGAGCGCCAGGTCTACGGAGGAGATCAGCGACCTGCTTGATGAATACGGAATAAAACATGGCCCTGTCGTCGGTGAGCTGTCTTGTTCTCTAAATGCGCGCGACTGCGCGTGTGGCATTGGTTTTCGGTGGGGTTCTCTCCGCTATTGTATCGTTGTGATCGTTCATAATATACCTCCCTTGTACTCAAGACTCCACCCGAAGTCTGTACGAGAAGAAAATTAGAGAAGCAATGGCCAAAGGGAAAAGAGCTCCGCCGACAAAACCGGACAAAACCTACTACAGAGAAGAAGGTAAAGTAGTTTGAATCCACATATTTTCCTTTCATTTATATAATGCATTCCCTTTTTTTTTAAACCAAGGATGGTCTAAATGTGACTGCTCCTCACACCCCCCAAGAAACTACATTTTCCTCAATGTAACACGATTGTCGTCCTAAAGTCATTTTCACGAAACGCCCCACACAAAACATCAGGTCCACATTTTAACCTCTTTTTTTCCATGCCACAAAAATACATTTGCCTATTTATATCGTTAACTGTGGAGCAGCCTTACGCAGAGTTGAAGTGAGAGGAGAACTTGGGTTCAACTGCACAGTAATCCAGTTCAGCAGCTGTTGGGCAAGTTCGGTTAGGCACAATTTTGACAAGCAACACCCTGCCTGGTTTCATTTAAAGCCACACAGCAGGGCTGGGCTATTTGTTTGACTTGATTTGTCAGGATGATTGTTTGTTTTTTTTTATTTGTTTTAGTGGATTACGCTAAATATTATTAAATAAATGGTCCATTTCTCTCTTGCAAAAGCAGTGATTCACATGAAAATGTTTTCAACTTTTGAAAATGTGAAAACAAAGGTGAAAACAATGAAATTATACTTTTGTGATGAAAAAAAAATTAAAAAAAGACAAGGCCACAACCCCAAACCCAACAAAGACCACCCTGCAGTCACCCCACTTTGTACCACAATTAAAATTACTTCCATCGACTTGGGTATTGCAATGAGAAAATTCCCTCAGAAAATTCCCAAATGTTTTTTTTTCTGTCTTTTTCAGAGGAGGAAGTTACATATGTTTACAGTACACCTGTAAGTGACACATGCATATTTTATATCTCTGTAGAATATTTTCCTAATTGGGTGCGCTCTTTCTTTTTATCTCTGTTTATTGTCTATTTGATCACTATAATTGTTTGTCCTTTTTTTAGGCTAGGAGTCATTTGCCAGAAGACAAGTAAGTTATATTACATGTTAGCTGTAGCATTCAACTATTAAAGGTGATGTGGAAAATGGATTTAATATCAAATGAAATAATGCTTTGTGATGAAGTAATGCCTGCATGAAAATACAAACGATGCTTTTACTTCATCTTTGCGGGGCCTAGATTTTTCTCTTCAGTTCAGTGTCAGATCCACCCCCGCTTGTCATAACTAAAGTCGTGCTGTGCATTGGCTTTGCAGTACAGGGAGCAGGTGAATATTGGCTATTAACAGTGCGCTGATTTAAAAAAAAAAATCTATGTCTCCCCCCCAACCCCTCTTAGTATTTTGGATTGACTACTTTGTGTGCACTGTCTGTCTACAGTAGTCGGCTTTACATGAGTGCAAGACCAGAGTGGACTGAGACCGAAGTTCAACACGAGTGAGTATTTTTGTCTTCAAATTAACAGTAATATTTGTCCTACTGTGATCAAGTTAGTGATGACAATTTGGTGCATTTCAGTCTTACATGATGTAAATTGACTAAGAGTCCATTATGGCCACTTAAGTGTCATATCGGGTACCATTTAGCCAAGTATTGCTCAGACACATCCTTTTGACTTTTTGAGGTCTTTCTAAGTTACTGGCAAGTGTGTTACAAACTTGCTGTTGGTTTTCAGACGCTACGCATATGACACAGCGTCACCCCCGTACACAAGCGCCAGGTTGAGAGCAACACCCAAGAAATTTCATCAAGAAGTTCCCAAAGAACCTCAGTCGTCACGCTTCCTTCCAGTCTGGGTCCAGTTGGTGTTCTTCCTCATCGCAGCAGTCTTCCTCTACCTCGTCTTCTCCAACATGGAGTCAAATGACTACACCAGGAAAATAGAATGATTTAAGAAAAAAAAATCCTGCCCAGTTGACAGGGCCATTTTACTTAAAATGACATTTTATCACAGAGAGGTTTTATTTTCTTTAATGCCCTTCTAGCGTCTTCTGACTAAATAAGAAGAGGCCAGCGTTCATTGTCGTAGACTGAGGTCATTCGAGTAAAGAGTGGTCCATATGTTCCTCGATGTGTTGGAACAGATGAGCTGAACAAAAGTGCTTCAGTGGTTTTCTAACAAACAAGTTGCATGTTGTTTTGATCCAAGCCTATACCTTCAGACATCTGCGCTCGCGATACAGATGTTCTTCGCTTGATTATTTTTGTACTATCCTGATCACAAGGTTTTAACTGATTCCAAAAGAATAAAGTGACAAAAAAAGCACAAGCTGTGTGGAAAATGGGATGTAATCCAGTCAACAATAACATTTTAATCGACTGTGACGTTTACACGTTGAAATGCAGCAATGTACATAAATGACATACAATGCAAAGGTGGGTCGGATTCAAGATACAAAATCATTCTCGACATCCCGAGTGTCAAACTCAAGGCAGATCCGGCCCGCCACGTCATTTTGTGGCCCGCAAAAGCAAATCGTGTCAACTTCCATGATCCTTGCTAAGTAGAATCCACACCGAAATGTCAAGTTGTCATGTATGATAAATAACGCTTTTGCAATAATTTTGTTGCCCTGTGTACACACACTTGAACAATAACTGAACAAACTCTTTAAGAGTTGACCGATTTCAAAACTAGTAATCCATCAATTAGTTGTGTCCAGGTAGTAATACGAATACGATTGAACATTCATTTGGTTTCACTTTCATAACGGTCCTCCGAGGTAAGACGTTAACTCCAAAGTGGCCCGTGACAAAAATGAGTTTCACACCCCCGCTTTACATAAACCACATGTGTCAAAGTCGAGGCCTGAGAGCCAGATTCGGCCCCCTCACGTCAATTTATGTGGCCCGCAGGAGAAAATCATGTGTGTCAACTATCATGATTCTTGCTGAAATCTGTACCGAAATGTCAAATTGTCATGGGTAATAATGACATTTTCCACTGGCCCCCCAAGAGAAGCCATAACTCCGAAGTGGCCCGTGACAAAAAATGAGTTTGACACCCCTGACATAAACAATTGCTCTGGAGAACAACATATACAATAAATTAGTGGAGTTCTTCCTTAGTACAATTTTTTTAATAAAAAAACAAAACAAGAGTTAGTCACATTTTGCTCCTTGAGCGAGAAACAACTGTAAATACATGTGCGTTAATACAGAATTGAGCGTAAACACCGACTTTGAACGCAACGGCTCTATTTCAGTCATCTCGGGTGCACGATGTAACGCGCAAGGCTTGCATGAATACCGTATATAAGGGAAGCAAATTGACAAACAGACAACTACTGTGTCCAGGTCTAAATTAAAGTAAAATGAAACCCTGTTTGCTAATTTATTTTACTGACATATTCGACAAGTTCTTATGTAAATGATTGAACTTTACACCGCCCCCCCCCCACTTGCAACCACTATATATTTGAACAAACCTTGAGAATGTCACATTAATCCAAACGTGACAATAAAGAAAGAAAACCCGAGAAATCCCAAGGTCCTAATTTTGTGGCTATGAACTGATTGCTTGCTCCAGTGTGTCACTAAATGCCCACCAGGGTGTCTTTGGACAAAATACACAAAGGGTGAAAGGTTAAAGAGTACAGCCCACACCACGTTCACTTGATCGAGAAGACAAATTCAACACTTTGTTTTTAATTGTTGAGCGACAGGTTTCGCTTTCTTACGATAGAGCGTGTATTTTGATTGGATTTATATATATTTATTTTACCTTAGTCATTCTTGGTAGTTCAATGCCAGCCATTTCCTCACACTCCTACACACTCCCACGTGAAAAATCATAAAACACAAAAATGTATACTGTGGGATTGAATGTCTGGATTCTAGTCTCTATTTTCTTTCTTGCAATACTGCGATAGGTATGCTCAATGTTGTGGTACCGTCGGAATCTGATTCTAGCCAACGCCTAATTTAAGATGGAGAAAAGTACTGTGTGGTAACTTTTTTCAAAGTTGAGGGATGGAGTGGGCTGTTGTCATGCAAATAAAATATGTTATTAATCTACATTACATATATAAATTAGCCAAACTGTGACCTCACCGTGGGGTAAAATTTTGAACTGCCTGCTCAAGGACACTTTTAAAAAATTAATCATAATAAAACAATAATCATGATTATAACAGTCAACCTACAAAATAATTGCTTGGTTGTTTAATTTCACAATTGATGGGTAAAGAGGAAAGTCATATACATAGCCAGCTATTAAATACTTGTGTAAAAGTTAAGCCCATCCATCCGTATTTTCCAGATCAAGGCCCAAGTGGTTTAACTTGCTAGCAGATACAGCGGAGATACAGAAAGGTACCAGACGATGAAATTTAAAAGTAGAAACCTTGTACCATGCAGACTGAAGTGGGCGTAGCAGGGATCGCTGACCAAGCCAACTGGTTTTGTAGTGCCCCATGAAGCCATTGTGGACACAGCCGCTCCCCTTTCACGGTCCGCTCCCTGGAGTTGTAAAGCAGAAAAACCCATGCTTCATATAATTGCAGACATGCCAAGCGATCAACAGCAAAATATAAACTAAGTAATACAATAAAAGACATATTACGAACATTTTTGTTTGTATGAATCCGACACAGGGACACTAACTGGTGCTTTACAAAATGACATTGTGAAACTAAAATGATAAACTTGATTGAGCAAAATGAGATTAAATCAAATGCACAAGGGATGTTTTTTGTATTAGTTCAGTGGCACTATAAACTACATTATCAGGGAGATTTTTTTTTTCAGTTATTACACAATAATATTCACATTTTCTCAAGACAGAAACAACATGCACATACCTTGAGCCGTTATGCCTGGCTGCATACACCATCATAGCTTGTTAATCGATAAGGCAACGTAAGTGTTTTCCACACCTGGAGATGGAAGTATATGTTGTTAGACTTTCATCCAAACAAACAAACAAACAAACAAACAAACAAAAAACACATGGCTATCCCTGGCCAATGTACAGATACTTGGAGAGCTAAGTTTTTTTTTTTTTTGGGGGGGTGGTACATGTAAAAAGATTTGAGAACCAGTGACTTACAAGATCTGGTCTCTCGCTCCAGTTCAGAGGGTTTCCTCTCCTTGTTGCACAGCATTTTGGCCACAACGATAATTATGACGACGGCAACAACAAATGTCAGGCCAGACACAAGCCAGCTGATCATTACTGGACTCAGAACTGGATCGGGGTCTGAAGATGGGAAAATGTGTCTGTCAGTGAAGGACATCTTCCTCCCCATTGTTTTGAGATCCTTCCTTCAGGTCAGAGATTTAGAGCCCCCTCCTATTTGACAAACTCGACCAAAGACCCCTTTGTCCCCAGAGCATTAAAATTGCAACATTTGCACAATGTCAAGGGTTTTACTATAAATAGTGCATTAGTGTGTATATTGATTAATATTTTCTGTACTTTATCTTCAATTGCCTGACATGCAAAATGAGGGCGCCAAAGAAGTGTCACCTCGTATAGATATGGGCAGGGCCTGGCTCTCTCTGGAGACAAAGGTGCGTCCTCCCAGCTGGACCCGATACAGGCAGTAGTAGTAGCCCTCATTTGAGCTCTGGGCACCAGCAAAGGTGAAAGTGACGGAGGGGCTGAGGGCCGGCAGAGACTGGCGCACTGTGCCATTGGGGCGGATCAGTCGCAGCTGAAAGGAGCCTCCGGGGTACGGCTGCGGCGTGAAGCATGTGATGTTAAAACTGTGGCCCTTGATGACGGATCCAGCCGGTGCCTCAGAAGATGTGTTGTACCAGTGCTGGGGGGTCAGGAGTTCCACTAGGAAAAACACCGAGCCATCATTATATGTCAGGATTGCGATTGAGAAAGCAACTGAAGTTGGGGGGTAAGTATGCAGATAAAAATATAACCTCATTGGCAGCGTTAAAAACTGTAACAAAATGAAATCACAAAACAAGAGCCTTAGACTACACCCCCCCGCCCCCCCAAAAAAAAAACAACAACAACAACAATGTGCTATGTGACAGGGTGGCGGTTGGATGGTACGTGACTTACCCACGGTGATGTTGACAGAGTTGCTTGGTGGAGAGCTGAGCAGCTGAGAAGGTGAGCTGCCGCTGACCCTGTAACGACAACTATAGCTGCCCTGTTGGAAAGTCTCAATGTTAGGCAGAGTCATCTCCACCCGTGACTGACTCATTTCCGCCCTCTGCGTCACCACGGGTGTGGTCACGCCATGTTTGTACAGGTGGAAGTCTCTGATGTGGTGACCCGGCAGGACGCTGCAGCTGAACCGAACCGCCTCCCCGGAAGAGAACACGGTGTGAGGTGACAAAAGGGAGAGGATAGGCATGAAAAGGGTACCTGTGCGGAAAACCAGAGGGTGATCACAAAACATTTCAGTCAAGAACCCTCAACCGGTTTTTCATTTGCAACATTTAGATCTTTTTTTAGAACTGGAGATGCAAACATACAGGTATATACACCCACATAGGCACGCATGCAATGTCTTAGCACAAAGCACCTTATCAAAAGATTGTCCCACCTGAACATTTCACCCCTGCATCATTTTCATGGGTGCAATGGGGGTGACTATGGAGGATGACGGCACAGCGGGTCAGACTAGACTCGTGTCCCGTGCACTGAACGTGCCGCAGCCAGATCTCTCCCCTGCCCGTACCAAAAGCCGCCCCGTGGAGGGCCGACTCTGCTAAGCCACAGGCCAGCTCCAGGCACACCACGTCAGCCTCGCGGAGGTCCCAGCCGTGGTCGCAAACTGTCCCCCAGTGGTTATGTCGGAGAACCTCGACACGGCCAGAACATTTGCTCTCCCCATCCACAAGTCTGACATTATCTAAGGACAAGAAACAACATTTAGAAAGAGCACGCTGTAATACTATGGATGGTGGACGAGCACTTTGATTCTAAATACTGGCTTACCAATGGCAGTGACTCTGTCCCGCAGAACACCTAACAAACCTTTTGATGAAATGAGAAACTAAATTACCATCACATAACACAAATTTCAACTCTTATCACTCTGCTGCTGAATTAAAAGGAAACCATATACCTATCAAGAAGAATAGGACGCCAGTAAATTCTACTTCTTGGTTGAAAGCGGAGGTCAAATCAAGTTTTATACAAGGGTTAGACTTTTGAAGTAAGATTTTGAGGGTTCAAAGGAGGGGTGGAGGCCACATTAGGTTTTAAACAAGGGCTACATTTTCAGTTTCAAAACGAAGTCTCAAGCCTTGGTTAGGATTTTAAACATGCAGGTGTGGCTCTAAAGAAAGGCTTTGAGGTCTCACACCAAGGTTGGTGTTTAAACAGCGGTTGGGGTTTCGAATTAGGGTTCCAAAGCCGCAATTAAGGATACAAGCCTGGGTCAGGCGTTTGAGTTCCAAAGTAGTTTAACGGTAAGGGTGAACCCTAACCAACCCTTTTAAATTAGGGTAAACAAGATTGCGAACTAGAACTGGCACCACAGTTAGGGTAAATACATTTAAGACAAAAAGGCTTCGACTATAAGAGAAGCTGTTGCTATACAAACAACAGAGGTTAGTGTTGATTTTAAGCACCAAACCAATACAATACAGATGTGTCAAGTAAAATTCCTCAAGGATGGGAGACAGGCCGGCCGATATTGCGCAACTTAGACACAAATAGGGCGAACTACCTGTACGTGAACCAACCTGAGCGTCTACTAGCAGCCTAAACTTACCCGTTAGCAGAATGTAGAGGAATGTTGGCATCGTTTCCCCCTCACCCTTCCATCAAACAGCGGGGTCAGAATGATGCCCGGCCGGTGGAGTATTGAAGGACGCTACAAACACGCAACATGTGACATTGACGTGCTAGCTTTGTTAGCTTATTGAGCTAAACAGCCGAACAAGTGCTAACTAGCAGAGCTTTAATCAAGTGGCTGTTGCGACACGACTGTAGGGTACACCAGCGATAAACATTTTGGCTATTAAAAGCGATGTCGAGAACAAAAGTCTCGAGAGTGAGACCACTCCAGCTCGTCACAATAATCTGACGTCCATGTCGGAAATGTGTTGAGTCAAGAGTGGAGTTTATCCATCCAGCCCGTGTGATTAGCTGTTGTCGAGGTGGCCGCCAGGGGTCAGCATTACCCTCTTAGTTCAAAATCAAACAGAACCCTTATGCCATTACTGTATTGATTTTTCACACACGCTGTCTGACGTATTTCCCGTTTACATTTGAATATTCTATGTCATGTCTTACAAGTGCTTTTCCAACAAATACACGGACATTGATTTACGACACTTTGAATTTATGAACTGGTTGGGGCAGCAAATATTTTACATTGTCAGCTGTCACCATTGCGTTTTTTCATTTTTGTGATCACCACAAGTGCTTTTTTCCCACTACAAATAAGAGGGTTTTTTTCGACAAAAAAGTAATATTTCAAGGTTAAAAATGGCGGCAAATGTACTACTTTGTCAGGCAGTATAGTACATTGTCTTGTGATACAAAAAGTCCCGCTCATCGCCTTGCCTTCCATCATCTTGCACAGAGGTTTCTCAGGTTATCACCACATTGTTGATAAAATCTCGGACTAACGTGCACGGATGTTTGCAGTCCTAACAAACGTCAGAATGACTAGACAAAACCCAGCAATTTGTAAAAAAAAAATTGTAAAAATGTACATTTAATAAAAATCAAAGGAAAATGAGTCTTTCATGATGATATCTTTGCACACTGAAGTATACTTTTTTTTTAAATCAAGGCAAACTGTTATTTATGCCACTAGAAAAAAAACAGTCAATGTCATGATGCATTTTATTGACTCACTTGTCCAATAAGCACCAACCTTGTCATGTTGTAAATAAAACGTAACCATCCTTTTTCAAAAGAAAAATAAGAGGTAAGCAAGTAAGTGTACTTTTATATATATATTAAACAAAAATATAACACAGTTCTTCTCTTCAAATCTAACTTGGAAAAAAGCAAACTGTGTTTGTCCCAAAATGGTATGTGTTCATTGGAAGGTGACAAACAGCGCTAGTACTACAAATCATTTCCCTTGTTAATAAGTACATGAGCCGACCTCATTCTCATGTAAGTGGATTCAGTTACCACTGATAATACAAGGGAAGCAGACATAAAATAAAAAAAAAACAAAATAATTTAGTTAACTTAACACAAGTAATCCAAGAAGATGGCCTTTTGTTCCACAGGTTAGCAACTTCTTCATCTACTTTTTATAAACAAAGTGTTCATTAGATAACAGAACAAGTGGCTTCAGTTCCAAAATAGAAGTGTCTCAGGCACCACACGGACATCAATGTGCTGCAATTCAAACTTTTTGTGTGTGTCCAGTCATGGTGCGACCATGAAACATTTGCTGGAAAGAAAAACCCAAGTCACCAAACAGCCTTTTTTTTTTTTTTTTTTTTTTTTTTTTTGGCCTCCCCCAGGAGGGGAAAAAGGGTT